TAAAATATTAAGAATGAGATTAAAAAATTTAAATATTCTTAATAAATTTACATGTAAAAGGATTTATTAAAAGTATAAAACAATTTCACATTCAATCTTAGTATTTAAAATAATAAAATATCATAATTTTTACTCTCTTTTTTTCTTACCATTAGTTGCAACAAAAATATGTTCTTTTACAATTAGTTCTTTACTGAAAAATATCACATGCTAACGAATATGATGCACGAAGATTCATTAAAGATATTTTCATTTTTTCCACACTAGGCTGATTTTTTAGGTGCAATCCATAGATAAAAATCCATTTCATAAAACAATTCGGTCCCGACAAAACGCACCGAACGAACGTCTCTCACGGTCAAATCCTTGGCTTCACTTCCGGTCGCCCTTAATCCCTAACGCAGTTTGCGTTTTGCTCCTTCTCTCTCCCCAATCGCAGAAGGCTGAACTCCTCCTGATCTCCTAATTCAACATGGGTTCGCTGCTCTTCCCTCCTTCCGGCGGCACGCTTGACTCCCTGTCTTCTCCGAATCAAACTGAAGGTTTGTTTGTTTGTTTGTTTTTTTTTTTGTCTATTCGGTTGCAGAAGTTTGAATGCAGCTTTAGGGTGTTTTGATTGATTCCTTTTGTTTTCTTTAAATTGTTTGAATTCTGCCTGAGCTGTGTGAATTGGATTGAATCCTTAAGAGTTAGAGGAATTGAACATTTCATGTTATTAGGGTGCTCCCTGTAGTAACATCTGTTTGATTATATTGAGTGCGAATTGTCCATGATTATCTGTTTCTTATTGTCAAGAAATGAAAAAACTTGTTTTGATTATCTGACGTTTTCTGATTTGTCAATCTTTTTATTGTCCTATGTGAGTTACTGAAGAGTTTTTTTTGTTGCGTTGCATGCGAGTTACTTTCAGTGTGTTTTGACTGTTTGATAAAATGTTTGAGAGAATTGAGATGAATTTTATTGCCTGTTATGATTTTGATGGCTTGTTCTTCAGTTGCTCTCGCCGTGTCTGAGGATTTTGAACGGAGACAAACTGTAGATGAGATTGAGAATGAAGATATGCCAGTTAATGATGTTGGGAATGGCAGTGGAGGGAGACCTTGTGTCGGGATGCAATTTGCTACAGATGATGATGCTTTTGGCTTTTACAAAGATTATGCTGAGAGAATGGGATTTGGCATCCGGAAGGAATCAGCCAAGAGATCAAGGCCTGATGAACCTATTAGTAGAAGATATTTGGTTTGCTACAAGGCAGCTTACAGAAGAAAGGCTGAAAGGGCTAAGAAAGGTATCTATGAAAGTGAGGACGGTTGTCCGGCTCGAATGGCTATTCATTTGAAGGATGGAGTATGGATCATCAAGCAATTTTTTGATGAGCATAACCATGAGATGGTTTCCTCTCCAAAAAAATCAAGAAAATTAAGAAAATTGTCAACTCATAATAAGCAGCATGCCCTACCATGTGCAAGGGAGTCAATGGATCAAAATAGCAGTGCAAGATGTGTTTTGTCAAATATTACCCCTCAGCAGTATCGAGAACGCTCAAGAAGAAAAAGAGAGAGCAATATTAGCCGTGAGTGTATCACTGTTATGCAACGCTTTCTAGACACTGCTGCTTTGGATGATAGATTCTACCACTCCATTGAGCTTGATGAAGATGGTGTTTGTAGGAGTGTTTTTTGGGCAGACGGGAGAGCAAGGACAATGTATGAAAACTTTAGCGATGTGGTGGTTTTTGATGTCAGTTATAAGACTCGTCAGTTCTGTCTCCCATTTGCACCATTTACTGGTGTGAATCATCATGGACAGTCTGTACTCTTTGGATGTGCTTTCTTAGCCGATGAACAAGAAGAGACATTTGTTTGGTTGTTTGAACGTTGGCTATTTTGCATGGGAGGAAAAGCTCCTGGAGCAATCATCACCGACCAAGACCCAACAATTATTAATGCAATTCAAAGAGTATTCCCAAACACACGTCATAGGTTTTGCATCTGGCATATGTCTCTTCATGAAGATGAACACCTACGTCCATTGCGATCTTCCTATAATCCGGATTTTGATGAACATTACTATAGATGGGTGAAGAGCAAAACCATTGAAGAAGCTGAGGCTGCATGGGTAACATTGAAAGATAAGTATAAGAGGGAATATGAGGGGCCATTAACTGATAAGCAATGTAATGAGATGAAGTCGTGGAGGTGGTTAGAAAGTATGTATGAGAAAAAATATAATTGGATTGATGCATATTTAAAAGACACTTTTTTTGCTGGATTGAGATCAAGCCAATGGAATGAGGGGATAAATTCATTTTTTGATGGCTATGTGAATTCTTTGACTCCAGTACACCAATTTGTTGAGCAGTATTGGAAGGCTGTGCAATGCCGTCGTGATTTAGAAGAGAATGAGGACTTATGGACAATGAGATCGAAGCCTAATTTCCAAGGCTTGCATCCTTTAGAATTTCATGCTGCAAAAGTGTACACAAGGAAGATTTTTACAAATTTTCAGCTTGAGTTTAAAGAAGCCAGTTTCCATTGTTCGCATGATGGGGTGAATGTCAGTGATGGAGTTACAACATATGATGTTTCCTATGAGGTGGATGATAAAGTTGACACACACACTGTACAATGCGAGCCAGCTAAATACCAATTTAGATGTACTTGTGGCAAGTTTGAGAGCGCAGGAATTCTGTGCAAGCATATCTTATATATAATGAAGCAGTGTTATCGATGGAAGTCAATTCCTGAACACTATATCTTAGCTAGATGGACTCTTGCTCATAAGCATAGGAGTGACAACACTGGGAGTGCACCAATCAACACATCAAAAGAGATTGAGGTAACCCCCCTCGAGGCATGGAATCTTCGAAAAGCCTTGAATGAAGTGTACGAGAAAGCAATTAAGCATCGTGCTCTGTACAATGCCACTGCTGTGGCGCTGCAGGATTTAGTGAAGCAATTAGATAGCATTGGATAATTTTAACTTTCTCTATGTGCTCAAGTGGGATATATGTATTGAAACTGATATGTAAAGGCTTTTTTTTTTTCAGAGATAGAGGCTTTTGCATTTTTGCTAGCACTGGGAGAGGTTCTTTTCATGAAACGGTGCGTTTCATCTGGACTGGAATTTAAATGGCCTAATGTGGAAGACAAAAGGAGCTTAATTTATTAACGTAACAGTATTTTGCAATCTTAACCATATTGAATTACAAAACATAGATATTTGGATAAGGAGTAAGTTTTTGATATCTCGAGTCTTTTCTCACTCAAGGGTTCTTTATCCAATCTAAACTACAAATTGGGAAACTTATCCTTCAATCAAAACAAGCTTAAGTTATTGTTCTTCTATCATCAGGTCATCTCTCATGACCTCAGAAATAACTAAGTTGCTATTGATTCTTCACCAAGACCTTGAATGGTAGATTCTTCTTCCTTGCGCCATCCAGCTGCATTTCAAAGATTGTTATGATCATAGCTTTCAAATCATATGTTTTAGTCAATATTTATTTGGGTTTGAGAGAATATAGTTTCCTTTTTACTTTCTGATAATGGAAATCACCTTTTTAAATCACATTTGTCACGGAAAATGAGGGGTATCTGGGTGGAAGAATGTTTGGGAAGAAAAGAAATTTTCAGAATTGAGGGACTAATTTTATTTTAATTTGACTAATTGTGGGACTAACACATAATTAATTATTTTATTTAGCTTACTCGTGAATTACTCATAAAAATTGAAAAATGATTTCATAATGATATTTTTATATTATTTTTATATAACTTTATTTATTATTTAAATAATTAATTTTTTTTATTTATTTGAGATTTATAATATTAAATAATTTTACTCATTTTATAGCATATAAAACTTATATAAAAAAAGTTATTTCTACATTATCTCCCCAAAAAATTAGTGTTCAAAATTAACAAGATAAGTAAATTTTGGGTGCAGTTTGCTAAAAGAATTTTTTAAATATAAAAATACAAACTGTACCAAACACCCATAGTTTTGAGAATTGCTTAAGCTGTGGGAAGCTGATGCTAGCTTCTGGCCTTTCAAAATAGGGAAAGCACCGATTTGGTGGTTTTGTAGGTGCTTCCTCGCCTATTTAATCAAATTTGACTGTTGTTCTTTTCAAAAAATGTTTTTTTAACTATTTTAATATCATATTAAATTTAAAATTTTTTTAAAAAAATTTCCAATAACTTTCAATTCTAAAATTACTTGTATATAAAATTTTACTAGATATCTTTAATTTTTTTTTTAAAGAGGACTTTTACTTCAAATCCTTAAAAAAAAAAAAAGACTCTTATTAAAGTTTCAGCCACTACACACACCACACAGGCTCATGTCAGGATATTGACGGACCCTAACGGAAATAGTTAACTAAAGTGTTGATTTGCTGCAATTAAAAAGATTAGGAGCTTATATGCTTGTCTTTTTAGTTTAGGGGCTTGTCCACTAAAATGGGGTGAGTTTGGGGGTTTACTGGTAGGTGACGCCGTGAATTGTCATCAAAATTTCCGAATATCGACGAAGAAAGCACCTTCTTCTTCACCCATGGCGGTCTCGTCCACCTCCTTCTAGCCTTTGTACTTTTACTCCTATGATGGCCAAGCACGAGCAGAAACCGAAGTTGCGGACCGCCGTCGAGCCGCTGGCGCACTTCGACCTTCCGATTCCTCATCATTCGATATGCTCGTTCTCTCTTTCTCGGTCTTTCCTCTACCTTGGAACCCACAATGGATCTCTACTGTTACTTTCTCTAGATTCAGACGACAGCCATGATCCGAGTTCTATTCCAATTGAAACTATTTCCTCTTCCATGTATCGGAAGATTTCGTTTGTGCGCGGCGTTTCGATGGGGGAATCTGCCGTGGAGGCGATATTTTTGCTAGTCGAGATCGGGTTGGTCGTTGTGTTGTGTGATGGGTTTTTGTTTTTTGTGGATTCGTGCTTGGTGCAGCCAGTTAAAAAAGTAGGGTTCTTGAAGGGGATTAGCGCGATAGCGAGGAGATTTCGAGGAAGTCAAACGGAAAGCACGGACTTGACAGAAGACGCGACGAGTTTTTTGAAGGGGCAGCGGATATTGGAGAAATTGGGAGGTGGAGTTCGGGGCAATGGGGTGAGAGCAAAGGAGTTGGACCAGCGTCATGAAGGTAATTACGTTTTTGCTGTTGTTGTGGGTAAAAAGTTGATGTTGGTAGAGCTTGTTTTAGGCAGTAGAGCAGGAAGTAGTGATAGAGACATCATTGGGGCCAATGCCTCTTTTGTTATTTTGAGGGAGATGCAGTGTTTTGATGGCGTTAGGACTATGGTGTGGCTTGATGATTCTATAATTGTTGGGACGAGTAACGGGTATACTTTGTTTTCGTGCATTACTGGGCAAAGCGGTGTAATCTTTTCACTACCAGATTCATCTAGCCGGCCTTTGTTGAAACTGTTGTGGAGAGAGTGGAGGGTATTATTGTTAGTGGACAATGTGGGTGTGATTGTTGATGCACATGGTCAGCCAGTTGGTGGGAGCTTGGTGTTTCGCAGGGCTCCAGATTCTATTGGGGAGCTGTCATCTTATGTGGTGGTTGCTAGGGATGGGAAGATGGAGCTTTATCATAAGAAATCAGGTAATTGCATTCAAACTGTTACCTTCGGTGCTGAAGGAGTTGGCCCTTGTGTTGTTGTGGACGATGAAAATGGTAATGGGGAACTTGTTGCAGTTGCAATGCCCAAAAAGGTAGGTTGACAATGGCAATGAATTATGCTTGCTTTTTAGTGTGGTAAAGTAAGCAGTTAATTTTATTAAATTGTTTTGAGTTGTATGCACTCTCAGTAGGAATGGGCATATTTTGAAACATGTGTACCTTTGTTGTTGCTGGGCTACCAAATCCATTTTAAGACATGAGACATCCTTCTTTTACATCAGTGATGGATCAGTTAAATTTATCTATCCACTGCCATACCTAAAGGTATGCTTCAATCAATCCTAGAGATTCTTAAAGAGAAAAACAATGAACATAAGTTTTTCGCTTTAAAAGAAAACTCTAGCAGAAAGCATTATCAAGGATGAGTAGTTGGTTTGATATGGCTCATGAACCCATATTTGGATTTATTTTATTTTTCCATTTAAATGCATTAAACCAGTTCTGGACACCATGAATATTAGCAGCTTGCATTTGTGATAAAATGAGGTGGTTTCTTACCTTACGAGCCTTTAATAAATGTTTTAACATGGATATCTATGTATATTAAGAGGTCCAATTAGCGATGATTTATTAACAGAAAAGGCTTGGTAACTTGACCTGCTACATCAGTTACACTTATTTTTGAGAATTGACTTCTTTGGTCAAAGTTGACTGTGGAGTGATTATGAGTGTATTAGCTATATTGCTATGATAGGTTTCATGGCTCAGTTATTTGCAGTGTACCTTTTATATGCATGTTTATTCATTATTGTAAGACAATTTGTGTAAACTAGCTTTGTTTGATGCTAAATTTTTGCCAGATTGTTTGCTATCGCAAAGTACCTTTCGAAGAACAAATAAAAGATTTGTTGAGAAAAAAGAACTTCAAAGAAGCCATCTCCTTGGTGGAGGAGCTTGAGTGTGAAGGTGAAATGTCAAAGGAAATGCTTTCATTTGTCCATGCGCAAGTGGGTTACCTCTTGCTTTTTGACTTACACTTTGAGGAAGCTGTAGATCACTTTCTGCAGTCAGAGAAAATGCAGCCTTCTGAAGTGTTTCCATTTATAATGAGAGACCCCAATCGTTGGTCATTGTTGGTATGCATTTTAAGTTGGCCTTTTTTTTTGATTGTTTGATTATAAATGATGGTCCACATTTCACTTGGGAAAAATGTTTATTTGTTATTTGCTTCTGCAAGCTTGACATCATGTTAGTCTAATTAAGAGTTTTGGAAGCAGAAAATGTGACAAGAGCAAACCTGCTTTCTATTGCTGAGAAACCAATTTGGCCAAAAACCATATAAGCAGAGTTTGCTATCTCTCCTTGTATTGTCTCTAGATTGATAATCATGATGTGAATATTTCCATTCGAGATATAGAGTGCTTCAACCCCATTTTTGAGAATATGAACATGTCAACCAAGTTTAAGAAATTCTATATGTTTTATGGCTTTCTATTCATTTATTTATCATAATTTTATTGATGTACTACTATGGAGGTCTCCTTCTTTAAGCCATGTTTGTAACTGATTATTTTATTGATTTCATGATTTTCATTAATGACAAAGCAGAAGAAAAATGTTCTACTACATGCTCTAGGTATAAGTTATTTAGGCTCACACATGTTGCAATATTCTTGTGTGCAACTCTACCCTGAACTTCAATTGATGTGAAATGAATATTTCTTTTTCAGTTTAAAATTTTAAAGGGGCATGGGTGTAGAATATGCTTGACTGCTGGATCAAGTATCAGTTTCATTGTCCTACCATGTCAAATCATTTTTTCAGGTTCCTAGAAATCGATACTGGGGTTTGCATCCTCCTCCTGCACCCCTCGAAGATGTTGTAGATAACGGGTTGCTGGCCATTCAAAGAGCTATTTTTCTCAGAAAAGCTGGCATAGAAACCGTCTTGGATGAACATTTTTTATCAAATCCACCAAACAGGGCTGAACTACTCGAATCAGCAATAAAAAACATTATCAGGTATATTTCTAGTTTATTATGGTTATCATTTACTTGTTATAGTTACTATTTATATTTTAAGCTCCTTTTCTTTCACTTTTGTAAGATGTAGGGAGCAGTAGGCAAACTTTGAAATGCTGAAGTTTCCTTTTCAATCCAAATTCTCATGGTTCTTTACCACTATTCTCTGTTGTTTTTCTCCACTACAGGTATCTAGAGGTTTCTCGTACAAAAAATTTAACATCATCTGTAAGGGAAGGAGTTGATACACTATTAATGTACCTGTATAGAGCTCTAAATCAGGTTGATAGTATGGAGAAGCTGGCATCGACTGAAAATTATTGTGTTGTGGTATGTCTCACTTACCTCTGTCTCTTTCTTAGTTGATGATCAAATATTTATTCTGGAGAGTACTTTGGCAACCTGTACTGTTGGCAGCCTGGTGGAGATGAACTCTTTTTTTTTTGGCAAATGATGGCATCATAGATAAAATATTGAATAAATTACTGATAGTTGTGCCCAAAAATATTAAAGGTAAATAAATGAAAGATGTTCTTAGAACACAAAAGTTTTAGGTTCTAAATACATTGATTCCTAATATTCTAGAAGATAAATGGTCTCACTCCTTTGTTTCAATGTTGACCAAATAAAGAAGTAAAAATGAGTTTCTTAATGGCATTGGAATATATCAATAGGGGAGGCCTATTCAGCATGACCATGGTGGAAAGGTTTTTTTTTTCTAAAAAAAAAGAATTAAGTTTCAAGCTGACAGCTTTTTTTTTTTCTTTTTTTGGAGAAAAGGGTGGCAGAAAGGATTTCTAAAATAAGCTAAAATTCTGCTCTTATATGGGCGGCTGTTAATTTCCTCTTTTTTGAAAATATTTGTTTATGGCCACCTGTATTTTGGTATGGGTTTGAAGACTTTTATGCATTTTTAGTTATAGTCAAGTTCAACATATGGTTCATAGGCCTCAAGTCAGTGCACTATGTGCAAAACTGGTAAATTGTGGAATCTTAGAATTCCAAATGCATTGCAAAACAGATAGGCCGTTGTCAGGAGGTTGCTTGAAGGATGACAGTGCAACTTGCATGGGCGGTGCAGGAGGAGTTAGAAACTCTATTAGATGGCTCTGGACATCTGCGGACACTTGCCTTCCTATATGCAAGTAAGGGGATGAGCTCAAAGGCTCTTGCTATATGGCGTATCTTGGCAAGAAATTATTCTTCTGGTCTCTGGAAAGATCCTGCTGCTGAAAATGGCTTAGATGATGGTAATGCATACATAAGCTCTGGTAGGGAGATTGCTGCAACTGAGGCATCAAAGATTCTTGAGGATTCATCTGACCAAGATATGGTTCTCCAGCATCTTGGATGGGTATGTGTTTTCTGTAAAACATTTTATATTGAGAAGATTTTGAAATTGATGGATTGAGCTTCATGAATGTAATGTTTAATCAGGACCTTGGTAATTTGATATTAGATTGCAGATGTAAATCAAGTACTTGCTGTTCGAGTTCTGACATCAGAAAAAAGAACAAAGCAGCTTTCACCTGGTGGGCCTCATTTTCAATTGACGATCTGTCCAGGAAACTTGGTTTTGGTCTTTGATAAATTGCATATAACACTTATATATGGTAGTGGTCATGGTGTTGTACCGTGACATTTATTATATTGCCAGTAAATTTTGTTTCTGCGTAACTTCATTAATTAGTTTCTTACTGCAGATGAAGTGATTAAGGCAATTGATCCAAAGAAGGTTGATATTCTTCAAAGGTATGCTCATAACCATAACTTACAGATTGAACATTCTATAAATAACACCTGTTCTTATTCTCATGTGATCCTGTGGTATGTGCATCATATGTGGGATGGGCTAGGCTTCCCTCATTCTATTGTTATTCTCTCTTGTACTGTTTACTGTTGTCTTTTTTCTTTTGCTCTATAACCTTTGCTGCATGTTTATATCTTTGAGTTCCCTTTCTTATGCAGGTACCTTCAATGGTTGATTGAAGATCAAGACTCTGATGACACCCGATTTCATACATTATATGCTGTCTCACTTGCCAAGACAGCAATTGAAACCTTTGAAAAAGAACATAGCTCTAAAAGCCTTGATTCTAGGAGGCTACAAGGGGTGAATGACACAGATATTCGAAGGGACTCAATCTTTCTAAGTCCTGTGCGGGAACGATTGCAAATATTTTTACAGTCATCAGATTTATATGATCCAGAAGAGGTTCTTGATTTGATTGAAGGATCTGAGTTATGGTTGGAAAAGGTCAGTGAAAACACTTTAATTTGCCTTGATTCTGTTCATATAACAATTTTTAGGTGGTATATGTATTTCATCTTGAGGCCCCAGGTCCAAATTAACTAATTACTTTGTTATGAGCTTTTCTGTTTGTTAATATAAAATTAAATAGTCTTGGATTTGGTATATGCTAATTTATTTTTTTGGTTTTAATCTGTCAGGCTATTCTGTACAGAAAATTAGGGCAGGAGACGTTGGTCCTTCAAATTTTGGCCCTGTAAGCTTCTAGGTTGTTATATAGGATATTAACCTGGAATGTCAGGGCATTATGTGGTATGTGAATCTAATGTATTGTTGTTTTTGTGTGCTTAACTGTAAAATATAATGGTCTCTCAGGAAACTGGAGGACAGTGAAGCGGCAGAGCAATACTGTGCAGAGATTGGCAGACCTGATGCCTATATGCAGTTTGTTTCTTTGCTTTCCTTCCTTTTTCTTCCTTTCACTTTCATTTCTTATCTTTTCTTTCAGCTGATGAATTTGGTTTTTCCACTTTTATTTGATGCTATGAAATCAGGTTACTTGATATCTATTTAGATCCACAGGATGGTAAAGAGCCTATGTTTAAGGCTGCTGTTCGCCTCCTCCACAATCATGGAGAATCACTGGATCCTCTTCAAGTTTTAAATGTATCAATCTCTCACTCCCTCTTTTGCACAGAGCCTCTCTTACCATACATTTTCTTGATGTCTTGCTCACTCTTTATGTGTAAGAATATTTTCTGGAAGATGCAGGGGTTATTTAAATTTTATATGATTTATATTCTGCTTTGGAGGAAAACTGGAAGAGATGAGATGTTAGGAAATTTTTACATATAGTTTTGAGGGAAATTTGGACGACCTTACAATTAAAGTTTCTCACTCTTCATAGAAATACATACAAGTCTATAGACTGATTACATGTAACTTATAAATTTTATGTTAAAATATTTTCAGATCCTTATGAAAAATGATGTTATTGTGTGTCTCACGAAAGTTTTAGAAATATTTGTTATTCTGAAAAGATTTAAATATGCATGTAAGTATCTCAAGTCAACATTTAGTTGAAGAAAACAATGGTCTCATCCAACATTCAATCATGTAGCCATTCAGAAGCATGAGCATTTAATTGCACTGGAATTATTAGATTGATTGTTTCTCAGTTATTTGGGTTTTCCGCATTACAGACACTGTCCCCAGACATGCCCCTCCAACTCGCATCTGAGACAATATTGAGAATGTTCAGGGCTAGACTTCATCATCATCGTCAAGGACAAGTAAGATTTCCTTTTTAATTAAGTGAATCTTGAGTTAGGTTGCACCATTTTCATCTGTAGATAGTGTGTATGGAAAGTAGCATGCATCTTCAATCAAATGGCTCCATAATGTGTAAATTGAAGTCTTTCAATGCCTCTTTGTTTAAGATCATAGCATGTTTCAAAAATTATCTAATTGTTTAAACTTTCTCAACAAACATCGTTAGTGATCAATATATACAATGGTTAATCATATTTTTCAAATGTCTGTTTTTGACTTGTCTTCGGAGATAATTGATTGTTATTACCATTGTTGATAAGTTAATATACAACTTAATTATTGATTTGTCATTAGAAATTTAGTCTTATGCGCATCTACACCCTTGATCGTGGTTCAGTTATGCTGAAAATCTGATTTACAACTTCTATTTTTCCAGATAGGGCATAATCTATCCCGTGCTGTGGACATTGATGCAAGGTTAGCAAGATTGGAGGAGAGATCACGACACGTGCAGATTAATGATGAGAGCCTCTGTGATTCTTGTCATGCTCGGCTTGGAACTAAGCTATTTGCAATGTATCCAGATGATACAGTAGTTTGCTATAAGGTTGGTTATGACTGACTTTTATCCTTTCCTCAGGTTCTTATTTTTTCAAATTTGCATAAAAAAATGGGGTTATTTTCTTATATCTGATTATAGGAAATACAATCTTTACTTCTAAGGTATATTGTATCAAACCCAAAAAGCTGTCAGAAAATAAAAACGAATCAATTCCATTGTCCCAAAGACCTCTGCCCTTCTCCATTCATCATTAATAGTGCTGGTACGAAGATGTCGATTTGATGAGTGATGACTGATGATAATATGATTTAACTCTTTATGCCCATTTTGCCATCTCTCCAGCAGCCTTAAGGGGAAAATAGAATGGAGCACCTAACTACTATCTTCTAGTTGCCTTATCAGCTTGCCTAACCTTTATTTGTTCATATAATCTTCTGTGCAGTGTTTCCGTCGTCAGGGTGAGTCCACTTCTGTCACAGGTCGCAACTTCAAGGAAGATGTCTTGGTCAAACCCGGTTGGCTTGTTAGCCGCTGAGCAAAAGAAACAAGAAATTATTCAGAAGTTTAGGAGGCAATTTTTCATATCATGTCATGTTGCTTTTCTTCCAGCTTTGGCTATGGAAGCTTTTTGTGGCTTGCACTTTCAAAGGCATGAAAATACAGCTGAAAAAGTACCAAAATTTCAGGATGCTGGTTTTAAGTGTATCATCAAATCTGGCTTCTGGTTAATGACTCTGGCTTTTTCATTTCTTTTGTACATTAGATCTAACAAAAGGACCAAAGGGTTAGTGTTTCGCTGTTTATTCATTGTGTTGTACGTGTTCATTGAAATTTTCCTTTCCCTTCTGGGGTAAAATAATCAAATTAACTCACAAATTAAATTGTCATATTGTTAGATTAAAACTGTATATGGTATCGCTAACATCCAAAAATAAGAATTCAGAGTTTCAGCATTTTATTTTGTTCTCTTTCGGTATAACAAATTTTATATGTAGGTAAGCAAAAAGGTGTTGTGCAGTTAAGATAACAATGTACAAATCTAACTATTTGATTGGGAAGACTCCCAAGAGTAGGGCTTTTCCAATCCAGAACTGCATCAGAGGCCGAAAGGTGAACTCAAGTCTCTACTTTCTTTCTCTCTCCTCCCTTTTTTTTTTTTTTAAGATTTCTTAGTCGTTAAGATTCAAATTCATATATATATATATATAAAATAGATCTATAGGTATTATTTGGTAAAAAATTAGTTAGTGTATCACAAAAGTAAAAGAATAATTTGAGTGTAAATAATTTTAATGGCATATTTTTATTGATGGTGGACTCTTACTCCCTATATATGGGTAAAGTGAATTGCATCATGTGATCAGTGGGTCAAAACTTGAATATTTAGGTAAAACCTCTAAATCCGCTTTGTAAATAGGTTGGTAATAACAGATCCACCCTTAAAAAATATAGGAATAAATTGTTTTTTTTTTAATTATAAATAAAAATAAATTACTTATTTTTTAACAAAAAAAATCAAAATTTTATTTATCATATCAATATTTTTTAACGAAAAACATTAAAAAATAAGTAATTTATTTTGATTTATAATTTAAATAAGTAATTTATCCTTATATTTTTTTTAAAGATGGATTTATTCTTATGGATTTGGGAGTTCTGTTGAATATTTATATTATTTAAAAAAAAAAAAGCTGCCCCTTCCCTCTCCCTCGACGCCTTACGTTTTCGCTTGCTCTCTTCTTCTTAGTGGTGGTCTCCTTTCAAGGTTATAGAAATCATTAGGTGATAGTAAGCGTTAGACGATAATTGGTGGTTTCCCA